TATCCACAATGACTCCAAGATCTCTCTCTTGAGTAGTTGTATCTAAATTAGTCCCCAACATATTTTATGTATGGTTGGGATTATTTTTTCCAATGTACATTACTTTACATTTATTGACATTAAATTTCATTTGCCATTTTGTTGCCCAATTACTTAGTTTGGTGAGATCTTTTTGAAGCTCTTCACAATCTGCTTTGGTCTTAACTGTCTGCAGCAGTTTGGTATCATCTTCAAATTTTGCACCCTCACTGTTTACCCCTTTCTTTAGATCATTTATAAATAAGTTGAATAGGATTGGTCCCAGGACAGACCCTTGGGGAACCCCTCAAGATACCTCTCTCTACTCTGAAAACTTACTATTTATTTCTGCCCTTTGTTTTTACTAAGTTAACCAGTTACCAAGCCATGAAAGGACCTTCCCTCTTATCCCCTGACAACTTACTTTGCTTAAAACCCTTTGGTAAAAAGCCCCGTCAAAGGCTTTCTGGAAATCTAAGTACACTGTGTCCCACTGCCCTCCCTTGTCCTCATGCTTTTGGACCCCTCAGAGTATTCTAGTAGATTTCCCTTTGTAAAAAGCTGTGTTGGCTTGTCCCCCCACAAATCATGTTCATCTGATACTTTTGTTCTTAATAATACAGCTTTAACCAGTTTGCCCAGTACTGAAGTTAGATTTACTGGCCTGTAATTGCCAGGATCACCTGTAGGGCCCTTTTAAAGAACTGGCATCCCATTAGCTATTCTCCAGTCACGTGGTTCAGAAGATGGTTTAAAGGGTAAGTTACTGTAGCCAGTAGGGCTCCGGGAGGGGCTCCTTCCCCTCTGGGTCAGCGGGAGGCCACTCCGCCCCACTACACCCTGCTTAGTCTCTTGTGGGGAATTAGTTGTGGCTTTCGGCTTATGGGGCAGTTCGCCGTCTCACACAGCCGTCAGGGGCGCCCAAGGCCCGGTTCAGAGCAGGGCGGCAGGGAAACGGTTCTGGGCCCAAGGCCCGGTTCAGGGCCGGGCGTCAGGGAAACGGTTCTGGGCCCAAGGCCCGGTTCAGGGCGGGGCGTCAGGCAAAGAAACAGATGAATAGTTCTCAAGTCCTGTCGCTACAAAGCCAGTCGGTCCCTCTTCCTCATGCAGGGGTCCAGCAGGTTCCGGCTGCTGGTCAGGGATAGCCGAGGGGGGAGACGGCCATCCAAGAGTGGGAGCAGGGGGGCGCAAGCCCACCCCCTGCACTGCATCCCAGTCCAGGGCCCTAGTAGCAGCAGAGCAGTCTGCCACTGGGTCAGCAGGGATCCGTACCGCAACACGCTGACCTGGTTCTGGCCCAGCCAAATGGTGGTCAGCTACCCTGGGCTCTTTCCACACTCCCTCTGGGCTGTACCTGGGCCCCGTGCAGGCTCTCTGGGCTCCGGCGCTCTGGAATCTCTGGCCAGGTGAGCAGTCTCATAGACTTTAAGGTCAGCAGGGACCATTGTGATCATCTAGTCTGACCCCCTGCACAGTGCCGGCAACAGAATCTCACCCACCCCTCCTCGAATAATCCTCTCACCTATATCTCAGATATTGAAGCCTTCAAATACTTTGAAGACCCCAAGATGCAGAGAATCCTCCAGCTGTGATCTGTACCCCATGCTACAGAGGAAGGCGAAAAACCTCCAGGGCCTCTGCCAATCTACCCTGGAGGAAAATTCCTTCCCGACCCCAAATATGGCGATCAGCTAAACCCTGAGCATGTGGGCAAGACTCACCAGCCAGACACCCAGAAAGTTCTCTATAGTAACTCCTATCATCCCTTCATTGACCTATTTCCCACTGATAATGAATGGTCAATTAGTTACCAAGATCATGTTATCTCATCAAACCATCCCCTTCATAAACCCATCTAGTTTAATCTTGAAGCCAGATAGATCTTTTGCCCCCACTACTTCCCTTGGAGGCCGTTCCAGAACCTCACTCCTCTAATGGTTAGAAACCTTCGTCTAATCTCAAGTCTAAACTTCCTACTAGCCAGCTTATATCCATTTGTTCTTGTGTCCACATTGGTATTAAACTTAAATAATTCCTCTCCCTCCCTGGTATTTATCCCTCTAATATTTACGGAGAGCAATCATGTCCCCCCTCAGCCTTCTTTTGGTTAAGGTAAACAAGCCAAGCTCCTTGAGCCTCCTTTCATAAGACAGGTTTTCCATTCCTCGGCTCACCCAACGGAGGCAGGCGGGAGAGGGAGCCAGTCCTTGGAGCAAGAGGACTTACGGTTGAGGCCAATATCGTGGTAGGTGAGGATGACCGGGCGGTTCCCCTTCGGGGTGCCCCGCAGGGTGACATGGATGACCCCGGACGCTGTCTCGATGTCATGCTCCTGCAGAGAGAAGACAAGAGCTTCACTGCGGGGTCACAGCTGGGTGCAGACTGGGTCTGACAGCCCCAGCGAGGACGGGGCGCCCGAGGAAGGAGTCTGGCTGCTTGTCCTGGGTGCTCTCCTGTTCCCATAGGGACGACTCACACTGGCAAAGCCCTGTGCGGCTCTCAGCTCCTGGAAGACGTAGCCCACCCTCGTGATTGCCTAGCACAGGGTACCCTGCCCTACTTCACCGCGCGGCAGACCACAGTGAGCGGGCAGGGAAGACATTTCCATGACAGGCAGTGGGGACAATGGTCTGGGAACAGGCAGTTTGAATGTTAAGGTCCCTTTTTGGTCACGTGCTGGCACAAGGCTAGAAATTAAGAGACTACGACAGCGTCTCCCCAGACGTAGCACCCTCCCGACAGAGACTGCTGCCTGGCACACTCCCAGGAGCAGTGGCCCCCCACCTCAGAGCAGTGACACCAAGGAGCAGAGATGTGCCTGCTGGCTTCCTGGCACCAAAGCCAAGGCGTGTCCTGGAGGCAGCCACAAGCCAGCTCTCCCGAGACAAACGCCCTGCCAACGGCCCCGCCAGGCGTCAGGGCCAGCGACCTGAAAGCAGCGCTAGGATTCCACTGCATGCACGACCCGTCGTGGGGAAGGCAGAAGAGCAGCCCCAGGGCATGCGCTCTGACCTCAGGCCAGCCAGCTCCTGGCACGGGGTAAGCCACTGCCCCGGTGACCAGCCCCTGCGACCAAGGCGGTGTAGAAAGCGATGAAAGTCTGGTGCCAACAGCAGCACAGGGCGCCCCCTGGAGTTCCATTTTAGGCACAAATGACATATTCAGAAGGGCTCCTCCTAGGGGAAGCGCAGCATGTGCCAGCAGCAGCACGAGGAACGATGCGACAGCCAAGGACGTGGCCTAAGCTTCCTCCAGCTTTGAAACGCAACAGGCAAGCAGCCAGCCCATGGACTCTGAACACAGCCACACTGTGCGCCCGGCCCCGGCCGCGCCCCTCACACCCGACCCCAGCCCAGCTGCACAGCGCAATAGCGCCTCTCCAGGGGCTGGGACTAACCCCGCCACAGCTCTGACGTGGTGCGCGAAGCCCAAAGCTGGCGACAAGTGCCGAAAGCCAAGACCCGTTTCCTAGGGATGGCAGAGGGATGCCAACGCCGGCGAGCTGAGCTGTACATTAACAGCGCTCGCGGGCTAGTAGGGTCAAATGGCAGCTACACGAGGATCCTGCCCGCTGGCATGCACAAAGGCAAGCGGAAAGCTTTGCCACACCACACTGGGTCCTGCGGTGCGCAGCCGGAGAACCAGCATGGCCCACCAAAGGTGGGAGTTGGCTCTGTGGTGCTAAGAGCTGTCTAGCCATGGCTACAGTGCCTTCGCGCAAGGGCTTGCTCCTTTCTCGCCTGGGGAACAACACTGGCCCACGTGTGGAGACAGAAGAGGAAACGCTGCTCTAGATCCCAGCTCTGAACTCAAGAGTGCCCGGTGCTGCCACGCCACAAGGAGCAAGGCGGGGCGAGTTACGCTGGACTGGACAGGAAGGCTGCAATCAGGGCTTGCCGGTTCCAATTGACACCATGACTAGCAAGTGCCGGGAGACGCGAATCCCCCTCACAACTACAATCCAAATAGGAGTAATGGTCCAGTTCTGCTCAGTTAGCCCTTTGCAAGTGCAGGGCAGCAGGACTTCAGTGGGTCGTGTCTGCACCAGACCTGTAACCGCGCCGGCCGTTACCTGCTCTCTGTGCCTGGGACGGGCCCGGCCGGCCGCTCGCTCCTTACCTGGCAGTCGAAGTCCTGGAAGTTCTGAGCAGCGTTCTGTCAACGAGAAAGAGCAGGTGGCCGTCAGCACGGCCCCCAGCACAATCGACCGACCAGCTGTCAACCGCGAGGCAAGGAGCCCTGGGCCTGCACTCGGGCACAGCAGCTTGGATTTGCTGCTTTCGAGGCCAGCGTGGCACCAGCGTGGACACCACAGAGAGGGCCCAGCTGGCTCTGCAGAGAATCCTTAGACAGGCACTGCTGCAGGCAAGCACGTGGCTCAGCCAGGTAGCCAAGCGAAGGCCTGGTTTGCTCTCCTGGGCAGGCGTGCAAGCCGCCCCTCCTGCAGTTAACACAGCTGTGCTGGCAGCACAATCTCGCGGCTCTGCCCGGCGCAGGCAGGGTGCAAAGTACCGCCCGCCCCCGGGGCCGCACGGTGTGCAGAGAGCACAGGGCTCCCATAGCTGCCTGGTTTCAGCGGCGTGTGGAAAGCAGGGAGCCTGCCTGCCTGAGGGTCCCACTGGCCTGCTGTCCGGGGGCCACCTAGGCAAGCGCCCCCCAGCCAGAGCCTGCCTCTGGCTCCCTACTCCAACCCTCTGCTCCCCTCCTGTACACTCAGACCCCAAACCCTGCGTCCATACCCCTCCCACATCCTCTCCCCAATCCCCCTCCCAGCTCAGGCCAGATCCCTGCACCCCTCCAGGCTACCTCGACTAGTCACATGGAATTTAACATCCCGAGTCTGGGCTGGATATTAGGAAAACCATTTCACCCGGGAGGTGGTGGAACCTGCCCCCCTGCAGGCTGGGCCTGGCAACGCCGGGGTCTTGCTTTGACAAGATGACTCCTGACGTCCCTTCCAGTGCTAATGGCTACAAATCCCCGAGCTCTCTACTGCCCTGTTGGGCCTCCACCCGTTCATCAGAAGCAGGTTCCCACTAGGACTTTGCTCCCGTGAGCAGAGCTGTGTCTTGTGCACCAGTATTGAGGGCGCGAGCGCTTGCTGGGACGGGCACCACCGCGGCACCCACGTTCTTAAGAAATGTAAATATCTTCTCAACCCCTCCCCTTCCCTCTGCTGCCGTGTCTCCACCCCCTCTCGTCCCCCCGTCTGCTCCCCTGGTGCCTGCTGCCCCCCCACTCCTCACCTTCTTCTGCTGTCCTGGCTCTTGCCCTTCTCATCCCCTCAGCCCTTTGGGGACCTTCCCCCGCACCAGCCCTTCTCTTCCCTCGTGTCCACTCCTCCTCTAGCCCCACTCTGAGCATGCCCTGCTCACTGCCCTCAGCCCTTTGGGGAACTGCCCCCCCTCCCCATCCTCTCTGACCCCTGCACCCGCCCTTCCCTTCCCCCTGTGCCCACCCCTCCTCAAGCCCCCTCCCTTTCCTCTCTCCTAGCACCTCCCTCTACCCACCTGCCCTGCCTCTCCCCTCTGCTGCCTGTCCCTCCCCTCCACGTATCTGCCCGTCTGCTTCACCCCCACAATCCCCTGGCACCTGCACCTTCCCTTACCCCTGCACCCTCCTGGTGCCTCCCCCTTCCCTCCCGACACCTGCCCCCTGTGCCCTCTTCCTCCCTGCTGCCCACCCCCTCACCACCCTCTGCCCCAGTTCGCCTCACGCCCCTCTCCACCCTCACACATGACTTGCTCCATCCCCTGCTTTCCTCGTGCCCATCCCTCCTTTCACCCCTCTTCTTCTGGGCACCCACTGCTCCCCTCTCCTCTTCCTCCCTCTTGCCCCCATTGCCCCTCCCCTCTGCCCCTCTCCTCTCCTAGCCTCACCCTGTCCCCTCCCCTTTGCACTTCCACTGACACCTTCCCTTTTCCTCATTGTCTCCTTCCCCGCCTGGCATTTCCTCCACCCTGCCCCTTGGATCCTTCCCCTTTCTTCTCCTGCCCGGGCCCCCTCTTCTCCCCTCAGCACAAGCCCTTTTCTCTCCCACCCTTCCCCTTGGAAGGTGAGCGAAGGGGAAGGGGGAGAACTACCTTCCTGACACCTGCACCCCTCAATCCCCTCATGACCGTGTGGCAGGCGGCTGCCCTTTGTGCTGGGACTGGAACTGGGGCTGCAGTGCTATTTTTAATATCCTGGTCCAGGAACAGCTGCACCATCGCCTGGCACCAGTCCTGGCACATGGGCAGCTGCCCGCCACACGGTCCTGCCCCAGGAGCAGCTGGAGCTGAGGCTGCATGGTGGTTTCTGGGGCCGGGACCACGGTACTAAAAATAGCCCCACAGCCCCAGCTCCAGTCCCAGCACATGGAGCGGGGCTATGTGGAAGGTGGCTGCCCCATGTGCAGGGACTGCAGTGCTATTTTTAGTACTGTAGCCCTGGCTCCAGCTGCGGCCCACGCTGGCTGCAGCCC